TGATAGAGAAGGGACCCCCAAAGGCCATCCAGTCCACCCCCCTTCTGGGAGGCAGGAAAAGCACCATCAAAGGACTCCCGACAGATGGCCATCCAGCCTCTGCTTAATAATAATGATAGAGAAGGGACCCCCAAAGGCCATCCAGTCCACCCCCCTTCTGGGAGGCAGGAAAAGCACCATCAAAGCACCCCCGACAGATGGCCATCCAGTATCAGCTTAATAATAATGATAGAGAAGGGACCCCCAAAGGCCATCCAGTCCATTCTCCTTCTCAAGGCAGGAAACTACTAGAGGCAGTAAAAGCACCATCAAAATACTCCCAACAGATGACCATCCAGCCTTTGCATAATTATTATTATTATTATTATTATAACAATAGCAATAACAACAATAATAATAATAATAATAGAGAAGGGACCCCCAAAGGCCATTCAGACCACCCCCCCTCCTGTGAAGCAGGAAAAGCACCCTCCAATCACCCCTAACAGATGGCCATCCAACCTCTGCTTAATAATAATGATAAAGGGTCCCCCAAAGGCCATCTAGTCCTACCCCTTTATGTTTTCATGTTTGCATATTGGTATATTTTAAATTACGAGGCCATGCTTTTAACTGCAAGTCATTTTGAGTCTTCCCTTCAGGAGAGACAAAGCGGAGTATAAATAAACATAATAATAATAATAATAATAATAATAATAATCCGTTCTCTCCTCTGTTGAGGCCCTTTTGCATCCTGATGCCGCTTCCCTGCGTATTAGCAATTCCTCCCCATTGGGTCCCATCTGCAAACTGGATAACGTTGCTTTTTTCCGAATTCGTTCTGATTCTCACCTGAATGCAAACACTCACCAGTAGTGGAAATACTTGCCCGGCCCGGCCTGGAGGAAGCCTGACCATTGCTGGAAGGCCGGCATTTCGTCCAAACCTGGCAGAGAGGTGATGAGGTCCGGCGAAGGTTGACCGGCACAGAGGCCGAGGAAGGCGGCCACCACGAAGGCACGCACATGGAAGCCCATCATCCTGGTGCCGAGACTGCTATGGAGCCACGGGCCCCCGACTCAGCCTTATATGCCGCATCTCTCCTGTTTGCTGTTCCAACCACAGGAGATGCCGCGGGACTTCTAGACCTCTCCTGTTTGAGATAATATTGCTGATCGTACCAGCCAAGTGC